GGGGGGGGCGACTGACCGGACATGGTGACGGTGTAGGTGAGTTTGTAGATGCCGTAGTCGAGGAATCCGGAGGGGATGATCAGTTGGGGGCGGCTCCACGAGTCAAGCACGTTCGCGATCGTTACCTCATTCAACACGGTCGTCGCCTGCACCTTCCACATCCGCCAGCGCTTTCTGTGGGACGAGATAGGAGACGTTGAATGAGGGTGGGGTGGGGGGATAGGGGGAGGGGGGGGGGAGTATGATGATGTGAGTCCAGACAAGGTGGTGACGGTGTTGTTGCTGGTGCAATTGATGTTGGCTTGGCCGTTCAGAGCGATCTGGCTGGACTTATAGAAGGAAGGGGCGTGGTCGTCGATCCACACCAGAGGGTAAAGGCAGTCCACGTCTGCCACCACGATCGGCAGAACGCCCGAAGCCGACGACATGTGATTCCACGCACGCGCCGACACGTTGTAGGTGTTCTCGTACCTGCAGACAAAGATAACCTTGATCCGTCTTCGACTCGGCGACCCGAGCGTAGCGATTCCGCCTCACCCCATGCCTTTGCAGCACGAGGGGAGGATGCGATTGGCGGAGGACTCGAGCTCTCCACCAATCGCATCCTTTCCTCGCCAGGGGGAGGCAGGGATCGGTGGAGGGCTTGAATCCTACACCAATCCTTGCCTCCCCCTTTTGCAGGGGGTGATGCGGAATCGGAAGTCCTCCAGACCACACACTCTTCAAGAATTTTGTTTCAATCGGTTCTGCTTTTACCTTGCGTGATCCCACTCACATGTAATAGTGGTAAACCTTGATCGGATTGGTGAGAGGAGTAAACTGCTGATAATAGGCCTCCGTCGCATTGGAACAGGTGTTGGAATCCCCGTAGGAGAGCGGAGCAGTCCCATCCCCAAAATCCACGACGAGACACGTGGCCCCCCCGATCGAGTCGAACCGGATCTCCATCTCCTTCAAAGTGCCCTACACCCACGCAAAAATCCCCAACAATCCCCGCCGCACTCACGAAAAACCCTCCAATTCGAGACCCACCGGCTTCGTGACGATGCGGTAGTCGTCGATCACGAGATTCGTGACGTGCCCCACGATCACGACCTCGTAAATCTGGCTCGAGTTCACCCAGCCCTGGATCTCGTTGTACGCCTCCAGCGTTACGTTGTACGTCCCCTCCTACGAAACCCGTCACGTAACGTCACGCTTAACGACACCGAAAGCCGCCGCGAGGGACTCGACATCCTCACGATTTCGAAGTGATGGTCCCATCTCTCGTTGAACGCGTTGAACTTGTCCGTCACGTTCCACTCGGTCATCAGCGTCCCATTCGCAAGGTAAATCCTGTATTTCGACACCACCCCTGCCAACGCGCAGCACCGATTAAATTATATTAAAATAACAATTTAATTTCAACGCAAGAGGAAAAATCCTCCACCTTGTGAGACCTTCGGCAGGAAGGTGGTGTTCTTGTCGCTGGGGTACCACGTGCCTCGGTCCCCGAAGCCGGGCACGAGGAGGCCCAAATCAGACGTGTATCTTATGTCCATCGTTACGTTCACGATCATATCCCACACTTCCAGCTGGGAAGAGATTCCAGTTTTTAGATGCGTCTGCTTTTATTCGATTAATTTTTTTCATCTTAAAAATTTTCTATTTTTTTACATCTTAATTTATAAATTATAATTTCCAATTTTTTAAATTAATAAATGATTTTAAAAAATTAAAACTGGTAAATGCGCGGCTCACCGGCTTCTGAACGCCACCGATGGTCAGCGGAAACACGACCGACGAGACCTGGTTGGAGACGTTCACCCTGACGGTGTAGAAGGCCCGACTGGATCCAGTGGCCTCGGCGGAGAAGGCGTGGGCCTGCGACAGGGAGCTGCCGCCCACCGGCTGGGTGGTGGTGGGGCCGGCGTCCCCGAAGTCCCAGACGGCCGTCGCCGACGTCGGCAGCTGGGCGCAGGAGCACGACAGCTGGAATGCCACATTGCCTGAAACGGAAATGTTCCGCCAAAATAATCAACTAAAAGAAAATTATATTTAAAAACGTTTCAATTAAAAATTCCATTAAGAATCCACTAAGATAATTTCCATTAAGAATTCACAAAATAATTTTTTTTTAAATCCACGATCAATTCCGGCATAAAATTCCCCAATGGATCATCCTCCTCGGTCCCGAGGAGCCTCCTCTCATGGCGCAGAAAAATAATATTAACAGGGTTAATATTATTTTTTTTATTATAATATAATATAATATCATTATTTTAACAAAAAACAAATTTGAACCGAATGAAACGCACCAGGCGGAGACAGAACGATCCCGTTCGTGACGCCCGAGACCGCCGTGAGCGTCCACTCGTTCAACACGGGGAACTGGAGGTGGAGGGCGATGGAGGCCCGGGCGGGGACGCCGCCTTGGGTCAGCGCGGTGTGCGTGTTCACGCCCGTCACCGTCACCGTCATCGTTCCGTCCGAGGCGTAGGTCTTCGTCGAATTGTAGGGGGTCGATGGGTTCGCTTCTGTGAGATCAATTTATATAATTTATATATTGATTTATTTTAAAAAGTTAAAAGCAATGACTCGATGGAGGACGGAAATTTCAAATTAAATTTGAAAAGTTGAATTGTTTCCTCGATGTCGTCATTCAATTTGGGTATTTAAAAACCTCCTAAAAACTGTCGCCGAAAGAAAAAACCCGAATTTGAGTGGATTTCCAACCACACTATCTTCTGCCGGAGTTTTGTTTTGAAGGAACCAGCAGTAACCCGTGAGACACTTATGTCTTCATGTCATTTAGGTCTTCATAACTGAGGCTAATCGACTTCTGTCGCATGGCATCCAATCCATTCTAAAGAGACACGCTTAGTACAATAGAAAACGGAGGAATAGAAATTGATTTAGAGTGCTGCAAGGGGTGCGGATCGGCTCGGTGTGACCGACCCGACCCGCAAATCGGTCGTATAGCTCGGTCGGCAAAGATTAGAGCCCTAAGCGGGCCGCGATCCGACACGACGGGTCGGATTTCGAGTCGGGACGCGATTCGCATCGGGTGAGGAAAATTCGACCAGTGCAGGCCTCCGAACGTACCCGAAATGAAGTCGGTGGTGTTGGCCGAGCCGTCGCCCCACTGGTAGAAGAGGTTCACCGGGGACCCAGTGTCCATCCGGATGGCCAGGTCGATGGAGACCCCGACGGCGAAGTACGACCCTGCCGTGGGGTTCACGAACTAAACAAATAATGGCAATTTTTTAATTAAAAAATTATGTTTAAAATTTTTACATGAAGAAATATAAACAGAATGAATGAACAGAATAAATAAATAAATAAAATGGAAAATTATATATATTTAGGCTCCAGCGAGTCGTTGAGATGAACGAGATCGCTCACGCGGAGATTCTTGATGGGGATTTCGCATGGGATGCTCGCCTCGGCGGGATTCCCGGCTGTGAAAATGGGGTATCCTTGGGGTTCGGGCTGGAAAAAAATTGGCAAAAATTCCACTCGCTTCTTCGTCGGCTGTCGGCCGTCCGATTCGCATCGAGAAAAAATACCGTGATGGTGACTGTCGCGGGATTGGGATTGTCGGTGCAAGTCCTCACGACGTCGAGCTTGAACTCGTCCTCGCCGACGACGGCCCGGACGAAATATCGCCGGGAGGTGTCGTTCCCCGTCGTCGGGTCGAAGTCGCCTTCCTCCCCCGGCCACGCGTCCCTGGGCAGGCGATTTAGGGATATTGTGGCTTTACCGGTGAGAGTTTTTGTACGGGATTTGGAATGACTCGTGGTCGGTTCTAGAGCTGTGTATGTGCCGAATTTCATTGCAAAACTCATAACGTTTTTGAATGTGTGAGGGCTTTTCGGCACGACCAAATACGACACTCGAAGGAAACTCCTCTTCGCTCTACTACAGCAACCAGGCCCACCATCACGCCAAATCCCATCGTACAACCCTTCATGATTTCCCAAGATCCATCCGAAAGAGCGAAAGCAAGAAGCAGGAAAACCCCAAAATCACCCTTCGACCCCCAAAAAAGCATCGCAATACCTGTAAGCGAGGGAGCACGGAGCCGGACACGTGACCCGGATGAACTCCCCCTCCTGCACCGCTAGACTCGTCACCAGATACCCCCATCCCCCCGTCCCCGTCACGTTCCCCAGACTCCTCCCGCTCCAGGCAGCCACCTCTGCAAACCCCACCTCATCACCCACTTCATCACCCACCTCGTCACCCACCCAAAACCCCAAAACCCACCTGAAAACGACGGACAACCGGAGTCGAGCATGCAGGCGAATGCCCCGGGACAGAATCTCCCCAGGACGCTGCACGTCATCCCGGCTTGCCCCACTTTCCCGCAGGTGTCGCTGCAGTGCGTGTAATCCTCTCGGCACAGCGACCCCACCGCACACGTCCACGATTCCACCTGTTTCGCAGAGATACTTTTTTCGTGGCTTCCTCAAAGTCTTCCCATTTTTTAACTTAATCAACTAATTAGTTAATTTTGTGATAAATGGTTCACCGAGAGCTGGACGGAGCCGTTGAGAGCGTAGAGCTCCACGAACTCGATCGTGCCGGAGAAGGGGACCCGCGAGTGTCGGAGCTCGATCACGACGACCTCGGTCGGACCCGGGTATTTCACGCCCACTCCCGAGTCGGGGATGCCCTTAGGCGGGGGCGTGCCCAGAGACACGACCTTCCGATCTGAAGTGCCCAAAAATATCGATTGCTAGGACACCCTGGCGTGCAAAAATACCAAGATAAAAAAAAAAACTTTGAATTACATAAATACCAATAGAGAGAAAAAAAACTAAATCGCATAAATATTAAATTTAAAAATTAGATACCACACCCATAAAAAATCCGAATCTCTGAAACACTCGCCCCCCCAGCACCTCACCTGGCACCGACAGCACCTCCGACACCCCCCCCAACGACCCGTCCCAAAACTCCACCGACACATTCCCCTTATACGCATCCAAGAACCCCACGGAGCACGCGAAGGGCACATTCGGCTCGGCCACCCCGGGACACACCAGGCTCGTCTCGTTCATCAGCAGTGGGCTCCACACCTCGATCTCCTTCCAGGTGACCGCCGGTGTGCTCGGCTTACCCGACACCAGTGTCGACACTATTAGGAGTTTTTTTATTATAAATATTTAATATTCATTGCAATTATTATGTCGTACTTTTATTATATTCTTATTCTTATTATTATTCTATATCATTCTATATTATAATTGTTTATAATAATTTATTTATAGTTATTGTAATTTATAATTATTATTTATTTCGACGAATTCTCGTTGAAAATCTTCCGCGCCGAATCGCAAGAGACCTCGCCAGATCTCTCAAAATTGCTAATTTATATATTAATTAAATAACATACCAGATGCCCCCCACCCCCCCCCCCCCCCCCCCCC